ATAGATGAACTCATATTGTGCTTATGCAAGAATAGAGTTTATACTAATGGAGAAATTATTATGCGCGGACGTCGAACACAGCCTGGAGACCAACCAAAATGCACCACGCACCCTTCGCTCGGTACCATGGCTCGGTACTACTCAGTACCGCGGCTTGGTACGCTGACGTGGCTGCACCTAATTGGCCTCCAAACATAGAGCTGCATTTGGCGTCCACGCATAATAATTGTCATACTAATGATGACACCCTCGCTCAAGGTTGCTCCCTGGCACACAACAAGGCACTCTAGCAACAAAAAAATCATCATTATTCATTGAAATTTAAAAGATTGATGCAAATGAGCTTCTCAATCATCATGGTCTATCGATTAACTAGCATTCTTATTGTGATCGAGCAATGAAAGTGGGGCTCTTGGAGCACTTTCAAAGACCTCATTAGAGTGCGTCACCTCTAAACATACAAAAGCAGAAGCTAGCCCATAACTCTTACAGAGACCTATCATAAGGTCAACAAATAGAAAATATAAAATGAAAGATTGGTCAAAACAAAGGCTTATTATTTAAAGAAAATTATAATGGGAAGAACGCAGATTACAGTTCACTTATGGACTAATTATGTATTTTTAGGCTATTATAGTATTATCACATACTTCGAGTTCGGAGGGCTAAACTTCTCGTCAAATAGTATAAAGAATTTAAGTTTTGTTTGGGACAATTTTTTGTCACTATTTTATAGCTTTTATGATAGAGGCAAGTAGCAACTACTAAGTCATAAAGCATAATATTTGCCATACTAAGAAAAAAATAGTATATAAACTTAGGTTTCTTTTGAGACAGTTTTCTTATGGTTTCTTAAAGTGTCTATTTGAAATTTTTTAATTTTTTGCAAGAAAGTCACTTTCAAAAGTAGGAAGAAAGTCATCCCAAATAAAATCTTTGTCACGGCCATCGTAGCTACAATGTCTCTATTGGTCTTTACAGTACGGGCAGAGCTCGAGAAAGACATCTAATATTTGTGATCATTTCATTAATGAAAAATTCATGAATTTTGTTATATTTCAATTGTCATAGATTTTTGTAGTAGATTGGAGAGAGAGAGTGTCTTATATTTATATCTCAAAAATTAATGTTATAATTCTCTACAATTAATAGAAAACTTGTAGCGATGGTAACATAAATATTGTATCACTTTAATCAACTTGTAAAAAAATTCTTATATATTTTTATGCACGAATATTCTTCTTTATTGCTATTTTATATATTTCTATCTATATATTTAAATAAAATTATCATATTTCCCAGCATCAATCACAAGAGAAACAAGAAAGACAACTTCTTAGCTTTTTCTTAAATTTGAAAAGTACCCACAAATCATTATTTTGATTTATAGGGACCCTTCCAAGCACAAGCACCACTCAAGTGCAAATGAAAACCTCTTATTTATGAGAGGTTATTACGTGCGGAGTCCAGATTCGAGAACCGTCCAATTTTTATGAGAGTGCATAGTTTCTGTTCACCACCGAACTTTTACTGCACACAATCATAAAAACCGGATACAACTTCGATCCAAACTTTGAACGTAATAATCTCTCCCTATTTATAACACACCCATCACCTCTCCCTCCCCCTCTTCACTCTAACCCCCTTCCAAACTCTCCCTAGCTCTATACTATCAACTACAAAGTATTTGATCATGTCCTCCACCTTCAATACCAACCATCTATTCAAAAGAAGAAATATATTTGTCTCCATCATCGGCGCCGGACCCTCCGGCCTCGCCGTCGCCGCCTGCCTAAAATGCCAAAACGTCCCCTTCCTCCTCCTTGACCGCGCCAACCGCCTCGCCTCTCTATGGCAAAACCACACCTATGACAGACTCAAACTTCACCTTCCCAAACAATTCTGCCACCTCCCAAACTTCCCTTTCCCGGAAAACTTTCCTCAGTATCCAACCAAAAACCAGTTCATAAACTACTTGGAACTATATGCTAAGGTGTTTCAGATAAAGCCACAGTTCAATGAAGCTGTTATATCTGCAACATATGATGACAAGCATGGAATGTGGAGAGTACGGTCTGAAAAAGCAGAGTATATTTGTGAGTGGTTGGTGGTGGCTACTGGAGAGAACGCAGAGTGTGTGGTGCCGGAAATTGAAGGGTTGCCGGAGTTTTCAGGGGAGGTGAAACATGCTTCCAGTTATAAGTCCGGCGAGGTTTATAA